CGGACGTAAGAAAACTGGAGTTGCAAACACGCGAGGCCACTGCTGGGCTGATCCTGGAAGAGCGTCCATGAGGCACTGCTGTAGGCTCTTTGTGAGGTCAATCGGAATAGCTCCTTGTGGTGGAAGAACCCGCCCCGTGTGCATTTGCTGTGTTCATAGCGCCCATCGCCATGGCCACGCTGGCCTTCTGTGACCTCCCCTGCTCTAAGCAGTTCCCTCCTAGGCGCCTGGGCATCTGTTTTCTCCCCTGAGCTCTCCACAAGGCTGGACAGTGAGGCGTCTCATCTGGGCTGTGTGCCGCCCACCACCAGCCCGCTCCCTACTCCAGCGCCGGCACCCAGGTACTCAGTAACCATTACATATATGCTGAAAGGAAATGAAATCAGCATATGGAAGACTTATCTGTGCCCCCATGCTCATTTCAGCTCAATTTACAATAACTAAGGTTATGAATTCAACCCAGATGTCCATCAGCTGAAGACAGGATAAGGAAATTATGGTATATATACACTATGGAGAACTACACAGCAGTAAAAAAAAAAAAATGCAGTCCTGTCATTTGCAAGCAAATGGATCCAACTGGAAACCATTGTTCTTAGTGAAACAAGCCAGTCACAAAAGGACAGATCATACGGTCTAACAGAATACTTAAAATATAATCTATAGGAGTGAAACTGACACTTTGAGATGCAACGATTTTAAACAGCCCTTGCCTTGACTGTTGAGGAACAATGTTTTTCTTGTTTGTTTTTGTTCATTGCTTCTGTTTTTTCTTCATACTAATCGGTGAACTCTCTACTTGGTACAAGGTTAATCTTTTTTTTTTTGACAGGCAGAGTGGACAGTGAGAGAGAGAGAGACAGAGAGAAAGGTCTTCCTTCCGTTGGTTCACCCCCAAAATGGCTGCCGCGGCCAGCGTGCTTCAGCCAGCGCACCGCACTGATCCGAAGCTAGGAGCCAAGTGCTTCTCCTGGTCTCCCATGGGGTGCAGGGCTCAAGCACTTGGGCCATCCTCCACTGCACTCCCGGGCCATAGCTGAGAGGTGGCCTGGAAGAGGGGCAACCGGGACAGAATCCAGTGCCCCGAGCGGGACTAGAACCTGGGGTGCCGGAGCCACAGGCGGAGGATTAGCCTATTGAGCCACGGCACCGGCCACAAGGTTAATCTTATGAGTATAAAAATTAACTGAAAATTGATCTCTGTAAAAAATAAGAATGGGAAAGGAAGAGGGAGGAGAAGTCAAGGTATGGGTGGGAGGGAGTTAAGGGAGAAGAAGCATCATGTTCCCAAATGCATAAAATAAAATGAAAATAAATTTAAAAAAAAGACTTAAGACACAAAAAGGGTTGTGAATGCCTATAATAAATAATACCTTAAGAAAAATAAATATTTGCTGTTTAATTAAGTATATTTGAATTGGTTTATTAAATTTGAATAATTCCCATGAAAAAAATCTTTATTTTTTTTAAAAAAAGGGTACCACCAACCATAAAAGTAGCAGTCTGTTGAGCCCTCTCTGTGTTACTATTTGCTGGAAGAACCACACCTGTGTTTAATGCTAAGGCTTGCGGTAATCCTGCAGCGCTACAGTAATTATTCCTCTACTGCGGATGAAGAAAGGGTTCAGAGCCAGCATGCGAGGTTGCCTGAGCTCACACGGTGACAGCCCAGACCTCAGGGTGATCACTGGGTCCAGCTCCAGGGAGTCGGAGACCAAAGCCGACCCCCTGCCCCGGGGCGTTCCTGACGACCCACGTCCATGGTCTGATTGCCCCCATCACATTCAAAGGCAAACATTCAGCAATATTCTGCCTTTAGAAGACACAGAAGCCAGAGCAAGCAGAAAGAACGTCCAGTTTGAGGACAGGGACTTTCTTCTGCGGGGAAGGCGGGGCTCATCAGGAGCCATGAGCTGTGGCCTGCCGGTGCCCCGGGCTGTGGCGGTGCAGCCAGGGTGAGCGGAGACCGGGACAAGGTGGCAGTTGGGAGGTGGACAAAATAAAATTGGTGAAGAAGTAAGGCCAGCGGACATGGCAGAGAGCACGCCAGGCATAGAAGCAGGGAGGGCAGCCCTCCAGAATGTTCCAGGGTGGGACAGGGAGCAGGGGGGAGGGGAGCTGGGCGTCCACTGCGTCCTCCCTCCCCTGGCCGACCAGGGCCACTGGGCTTGGAGGGAGGGACTACCCGGAGAAACTCCCACCTCCCTGATACCCCTTTCCTGTCCAACTTCCCTGTCTCCCAGGCACCTGGGAGCTGCTGCACTCCCTGGAAGAGGCCTCGACTTCCCCATCTAGGAGCCGCTCGCTTCAATTCCTCAGCCGATGCAGACAGGCGGTGTCCCACTAGAGCACGCGCCGAGCATCCCTGAAGTCACAGGGCCTGGCACACACTCCGGGTGCTGAGTGAGCACTGGCTGATGGGAGAAATTCTACTCCCATCAACACTCTGCTTTCAATGCTTTCCATCAGGAACCCCTTCTGGTCTTTAACTTCTGCAACTGATTTACCCTCCTGCACATAAAGGCACCCTGTATATCTGACGTTGTCTTTTGTGATCAAAGAGGATGCTGACTCTGTGGCACCCTGGGGCCCATCAGCAATGATCCAGAAAGCAATCCTTTCCTCTCAGACTTCTGGAGAAATTAAATCTGGCTGTCGAAATGACTAGGAGCTAGGCTGGCTCTTCAGCTCTTCAGTACAGATTTTTTTTTATTTCTTTTTGGAGGGCAAAAGGCATATTGGAAACTCAAAGGCAAAAGGGCTCATTCCCAGGGCCACTTCCCCAGCGGGCCAATTCCCCATTGGCCACTGTGCTGGCCAATGCAGCAGCGAACTGCATTGACTTAAATTAAAATTTACCTAGGATTAAAACTTCAGTTCCTGGCCTGGGTGTCTGGCCCAGTGGTTAAAGCTGTCAGTTGTGGGGCTGGCGCTGTGGCACAGTGGGTTAAAGCCCTGGCCTGCAGCGCCAGCATCCCATATGGGCTCCACTTCTGATCCAGCTCCCTGCTAATGTGCCTGGGAAGGCAGTGCAAGATGGCCCAGATCCTTGGGCCCCTGCACCCATGTGGGAGACCTGGAAGAATACCCTGGCTCCTGGTTTTGGATCAGTGCGGCTCCAGCTGTTGCAGCCACCTGGGGAGTGAACCAGCAGATGGAAGACTTCTCTCTCTGTAACTCTTTCAAATAAATAAAATAAATCTTTTTTTTAAAGGTGTCAGTTGCAACACTCCAGGTGCCTTATCCGAATATCCAGCTTTGAGTCTCAAGTTCTGGCTCCCGATTCCAGCTTCCTGCCAGTGCCGACCTAGGGAGGGAGCAGTGATGCCTCAAGGAGTTGGGAGAAATCTGGATTGAGCTCTTGGTTGCCAGATTCAACCAGACCCAAACCCAATCCTGCAGGCATTTAGGGAGTGAAGACAGCAGGGAAGAGCTCTCTCCCTACCCCTTGAATTAAGACGAAAGTTCATTCCTCCGTCACAGTAGCCACATTTCAAGTGGCTATCACCCTGATGCCAGGGGCTCCCACACGTCGGAGCACTGACGTACAAGCTCCATCATCACAGAGAATCCTTTGGACAGTGCTCAGCCAGACTGACTAGGAGGTCAGAGTCTCTCCCCAGGGACTGATCCTCTGCGTTGGCTTTTCCAGACAGATCCCCTAAGTCAGTGTTTTTTAGACTCTGAGTTTCACAGATAAATCCTCCTTCTAATGTAGAGCTTCCAGGTGTCTGCTCTGTCAGGTTAGGGTGCTGCCGCGTGGCTATGCTGTGAGCTCCCGAAGGTGAGTGGTGTGTCCTAATGGCTCAGCTTCGAGTCCCCTGTACCTCACACAGAGCCTGGGTTGCAGGCCACTCTCAGTGAGTGTGTGCTGAATACGTGAGGTTGCATGTGCACACCCATACACACACACATATCTCTTCATGTTTTTCATCTTATTTTTAGTAAAAAAATAAAGTTGCCAATGATGGCACCAGTCTGACAAACAGGATTTTGTTTCTATAAACACACACACATACGCACACACGCACACACACAGGCTGGATGAAACCATAAAATGAGTCATCTAACATGTTCCCAAGAACTTTGTATTAATTAATGCTTGTAACAAAATGTTCCAGGTCAGAACCTTGGGGTGTGCTGACTTCTTGAAATGGATTGGATCATTTAGAACCCACTGTTACGTGGAGCAGGGGGAAGAAACTGTGGGCTTTTCAATGGCACCAGAGTGCCCTCTTGTGGCAAAATTACATAGTATCTGTGTAATTACATTTTTTTTAAAGAAAGTAACTTTCTACTTCTAATAATGCATGAAGCCTGTACTGACCTTTAAATACTCTGAGAATCAGTCCCAATAGGAATATAGGCAGTGCAAATGTGTCAAGTTGTGTTAGTGAAAAAGATAATTATTCGTCACAGAACTATCCTATATGATCATTGACACCTAGGAAATGGGAAAAAAAACACACATGAAAGCTGATCTTGGTATATTCTGCATAGTTTGTTCATTCTCTGTTGAAAAGCATGTGCACACACACACACACACCCCTACTTTCAAGTTCAAGGCTGTCCTGCACGTGGCTTCTTCCTTTCTTTATGGAACAGCCTTTCACCACCTCCAACTTTTTTCATTTTCATCTTAACCCTTTTGCTCCCTCATATAAGCCATTCTTGGAATGTGCGCATCTTAGTTGTTCTTGGACTTAGTCGGGCCTCAGATGGGTTCTCAAGTAAAAAATAAAAAGGTGGCCTTGCTCACTTTAGACTGTTTTTGCAAACTTCATTTTGGTGGTCTGTGGCCTTGCCAGGATAAAGGAGCCCCTCACCGGTCAATTTCTGCTGAGGCCGGCTCTGGCTCTGCAGCGGAACGATGTAGAAGCGTCCTTGGGTGACAGCAGCGGCAGCTGATTTTCCCACAATGCCTCCTTCAGCTATGATCTCTTGCAGTAGAGAAGAATCACAAATCATAATACCCCAAACCAGGGCTTCAGAGGCGCATCTTTTTTTTTTTAAGATTTGTTTAATTTATTTGAAAAGCAGAGCTACAGAAAGTCAGAGGCAGAGAGGGAATGAGGTCTTCCATCCACTGGTTCACTCCCCGTGTAGCCACAAGGCCAGAGCTGGGCCGATCTGAAGCCAGCTTCTTCCAGGTTTCCCACGCGGGTGCAGGGGCCCAAGGACTTGGAGCATCTTCTACTGCTTTCCCAGGCCATAGCAGAGAGCTGGATTGGAAGTGGAGCAACCAGGACCCGAACTGGTGCCCATTTGGGATGCCGGCACTGCAGGTGGCGGCTTTACCTGCTACGACACAGCACCGGGCCCCAGAGGGTCATCCTAACTGCTGTGCCAACACCTTTTGTCCGTAGCTCTCTGTATGTACGTTGCCTCCTCCCCTAACTTTGTATTTGACTTTTACTCCGAGGGAAGCACTGTGACCCCATTCCTTACCTCCACCTTCCTTACCTGTCCTTATGTTCATTCACTAGAGAAGCAACAGGTGTCTTCTTGACCGACAGGAAAGAAACAGAGAAAAACACGAGACCCGTATGATGCCCATTTTGTTTTCCTCAGGGAGGCTCTCCAGACGGGAAGAAGAAATTCGAAGTGGCAGCATTTTTAAAAAGGGAAAGCTTTAGAAAGCAAAACCTGCAGAAGCCAATGTATTAAAAGGAAGGGAAGTTTCGGAGGGACATCTGCCTTGAGTCTGATCAGAGTCACCGTCCCCCCTGCTATTTGTTGAAATTCCTGCTGAGCTTTCAGAACACAGATCCGAAGGGGACAGACAGAGGAAACTCGCCCTCCCTTCCAGGGCCCTATTTTAATGATCATGTTTACATCCATCGCAAGGCATCTTGGCAGCATCAGCTGTGCACTTCATGACGAGCTCATCTCTGTTGGTTTCCTTGTGTTGTGAAGTTTGTGGAGAAAGGGAAACAAATCGGCATTTTGGCATATTTCTCTCTTCTCCGTTTTTCTTCTCAGAACAGCTCTGATATAGGCAGGTAGGATTAAATCAATTTGACTCACAAGGTGGAAGACCACGCCTTCGCCCTGCCCTCTTTTTCGATCTCATGCCCCTATCTGATCTTACCTGTATATGCCCACTAGGTAACCACACCCTTTTTGGAAGTGTATAAAAGGTGTGGAGCATACTGGGCCTCCCCCTTGTTGTCCTGTGCTTCTGGGGCATGGCCTCCTGGCTGCCCCTCTCTCTTCTTTCCTGCCCACGCTACACTATCTATGGCTACTCTTTTTTTTTAAGAAAGCTTTTATTTAATAAACATAAAATTCATAGGTACAACTTTTGGATTATAGCAGTTCTTCCCCCCATACCCGCCCTCCCACCCCCACTCCCATCCCACCTCCTACTCCCTCGCCCATCCCATTCTTCATTAAGATTAAATTTTAATTATCTTTATATACAACAGATCAACTCTGTGCTAAGTAAAGATTTCAGCAGTTTGCACCAACACAGACACACAAAGTATAGAGTACTGTTTGAGTACTAGTTATAGCATTAATTCTCACAGTACAACTCATTAAGGACAGAGGTCCTACATGGGGAGCAAGTGTCACTGTGGCTACTCTTTAACTGCATGCTCTGCTCCACGTGGCTCCTGGCCGGCTCTCGGACTGGTATGGACCCAGCTTACGCTTCTAGGCTCCTTTCTCCCTTAAATAAAGCCCTCACCCTCCTGTGTATCTCTCTCACTAAATAAATGCTAAAAGTTGCCATGTTGCCTGTTTTATTTGAGCCACTATTCAGCTTCTTATCTGAATTGATGGTGAGAACCCTCAAAATATTAATATTAAAATAATTAATAATAAAGCCACAACAGCTCCACTCCTGTGGAATCCAGGGACTCACACAACCTTTCCTGGTTTATTTTGGCGGGAAGGTGGTTGTGGCAATGAAGACAGAATATTTCTGGTCTGGGAAGTTCTGCAGACACTATGCCTTACTCTAGAAGCACGGAGTTTGGGCACTAAAAAAATACTAGAGCAGGTTGGGAGTGGGGAACACCATGTAGCCGCAGAAACCCTCTGTAATGGACCACTGGAACACCAGGGCCTCATCCCAAATCTGCAACTCCATGATGACCTTGGGCAAGTCCAAGTTCATCCATCACAGCTTTCCATCCCAGATACTCTGCTGTCATGACACCACAGTGAGTAAAAGTGCGCACAGAGCCCATGTTTCACAAATAACACACACAAATAGGAACAGTCACACACCTCATAGCAATATTTCAGCCAACAACCTCTCACATTAATGATGGTGGGCCCATATCGGCGCCGCGGCTCACTAGGCTCACTAGGCTAATCCTCCGCCTAGCGGCGCCGGCACACTGGGTTCTAGTCCCGGTCGGGGCGCCGGATTCTGTCCTGGTTGCCTCTCTTGCAAGCCAGCTCTCTGCTATGGCCCGGGAGTGCAGTGGAGGATGGCCCAAGTGCTTGGGCCCTGCACCCCATGGGAGACCAGGAGAAGCACCTGGCTCTGGGCTTTGGATCAGCGCGATGCGCCAGCCGCAGCGCGCTGGCCGCGGTGGCCATTGGAGGGTGAACCAACGGCAAAGGAAGATCTTTCTCTCTCTCTCTCTCTCACTGTCCACTTTGCCTGTCAAAAAAAAATGATGGTGGGCCCATAAAATGGTAACAAAGTTGAAGAATTTCCATTCCTTGTCACAGCACAGCACAAGGCATTACCCAGGAGTTTGTGTGGATGCTGGTGTAAACAGAGCTACTGTGTTGCCAGTCCCATAGAAGTATAGCACATGCAATTATGTGCAGGACTGGAGACTAACCGACTATGTTACTGGATTTACTGTATTTTTATTACTACTTTGGAGTGGACTCCTACTTAGATATAAGGAAGTTCTCTGTAGACCTGTATGTTAGGTTACTACAGACACGGCCTCATCTATCTCATGTTTACCTTGTCTCTTGACTGTAGCAGTGGTCACGTGGAGGTGACCAGCCTGTGTCACCAGGTGTGTGTAAGTCACTCTGAGCTGCTCACACAGTGATGAAATCGCCTCCTCCTGCGTTTCTCAGAAGGTGTCCCCATCCTGAAGTGGCACATGACTATAATCACACACTGGATACAGAGAAACATCCCAGGTGTGCTGCGAGCCGATGGTGGGAGACCTGGGGCAAGGTGGGGGCAGGTGCAGAGAAGGCCCCCTGGGGCTGTAAGGTGGTGGGTTAGGAGAAGGGAGAGGAGGTGGTGGCTGCATTCCCATACTTCTTTCTCTCTGCAGAATGGGTTCTAATGATGAGAACATCCAAGCCCAAAGAGAAGCAGCTTGTTCATTATTTCATGGAGCTCCAGTTACGAGAGCTGGGGAATTTAATGGGATGCAACCGTCACTAACAACACTCTGTGGGTTAGGCTTTGGCACAAGGCATTACAGGGATGCGGGTCTCTGCTCAGAGTGCTGTGACCTCAGTGCAAGACTTCAAGGCTGGGGCAGGGATGGTTGAAGACTCAGGCATTCGTGGGCTGGAACTTCCCTGCTGACTGTTGGCTGGGGGCCTCCACTCCTCTCTGTCTGCACCTCTCCCTGTGGCCCCTCTACCGAGGCTGGTTTGGGGTTCCTTGTGGCATGGTGGTCACTGGGAACCAGGGGTGAGCTTCACACAAGCTAGCTGGGGGGCCTTTCTTGTTGAGTCCTCCTGTAGCAGCAAGGAGCACTTCAGAACTCTACAAAGATGGCAGAGACACAGTCTCTACACTCAAGGAGTCTACATTGTCATCAAGAGATACTGGAGCAGGAACTGTGGCCCAGCAGATTAAGCCTGTCATCAGGTCCTGCCTCAGTTTCCAGTCCAGTTTCCTGCTAATGTGCCTGGGAGGCAGCAGGGGATGGCTCAAATACTTGGATTCCTGCCACCATGCAGGAGATCTGGATGGAGCTCCTAGCTCCTGGCTTTGGATTGGGCAAGCCCCAGCTGTTACAGATATTTGGGAGGTGAACCAGCTAATGGAAGATCCATCTCTCTCTCTCCCCCCCGAACCACCTTTCAAATAAAATGAAAATAAATACTTTTTTTTTTAATTAAAAAGAGGGGTAGGAAATTGCCATGGTGGTTGAACCGTCTCTTGGGGTCTCTGTATCCCATGTAGAAATGACAGGGTTTGAATGCCAGTTCTGTTTCTGATCCCAGTTTCTGGCTGGTGTGCTCCCTGGGAGGCAGCAGATGATGATTCAAGCATGCAGGTCCCTTCCACTGATGTGGGAGACCCAGCTCCCGCCTTCAGCCTGGCTCAGCCCTATCTGTTGCAGGCATTTGATCCAGCAAATGGAAGATTTCTGTCTGTCTCTCTTTTTCAATTATTTTTTAAAAAATTGATTAATTTTTAATGCATTTTTTTTACAAATTTTATTTAAGGGATACAAGTTTCATGTATTTCACATACACAGATTTAGGAACATAGTGATACTTCCCACCCCACCCTACCCCGCTCATACTCCAACCCTTCTTTCTCCTCCCTCTCCCATTCCTACTCTTAATTTTTGCAAAGATCTACTTTCAGTTTACTTAATGATCGTACAGTTAACCCTATGCTAAGTAAAGAGTTCAACAAATAGTATTAAGGAAAAAAACATTGTTCCTCAAGGGAAGAGACAAGGGCTGTAAACAATCAAGTGCCCCACCGTGTGAAAAAGCATAAAACTCTACTGAAACCCATAACAATAGACTTGAACAATCGGAGAGCATGTTCTTAACTAGGAAGATCCACATCATAAAGTACTTGGGCCCCTGCCCCCCACATGGCTCCTGGCTTCAGCTTGGCCCAGCTCTGGCTTTGGCAGGCATCTGGGGAGTGAACCAGCAGATGGAAGATTCCATTCTCTCTCTCTCTCTGTCTCTCTCCTCTCTTTCTGCTCCCCACCAGCTTTCAAATAAACAAAATTAATATTTTTTGAAAGAGATGCTAGAATGTTTTCTTTAATTTCACCCCCCGGGCTGCCTTCCCGAGAGGCTGCAGCACCTCCTGCCCCTGCCAGCAGCACACGGCAGTGCTTGGTTTGGAGGAGCCTGAGGAGTCAGTGCAGGAGGCTCCCTGCCAGGACGGCTGCATGCTCCCTGCTGGGCGACCACCACGTTCACCACACACGGGGTCAGTCCTTGCCAGATCGGGTCTCAGATGCAAAGAGCAGGTGTGTTTTCTGCTTACAGGGGCAGAGCCTCAGGGGCCCCAGCCTCCCCGCTGTCCAGGGCTACTTGCAAGTTGAGGGAGGGAGGGAGGTGGTGAAGGGAGAAGTCAAGGACCCCTGGGCTGGAAGAGCAGAATGCCCAGGAGTGGTTTCCAGGACAAGGTGCCTTATCCAGTGTAACCACAGGGAATGGGTGTCATCGCTACTGTAGTCACAGGGGGGCTGGTTGTGTCTCCCATCCACTCTAAAGCCATCCCAGGGGCCAATTCTTGGCTTGCTCTTGGCGACTTCCTGGGCATCCCTCATGACTCCTCTTGTCACCCTTAGGTGATAAAAAGTACTCCGGTTCTCTTGGTCACACAAGACAGTCCCAGGTCAGGCATAAGCGTGTTCAGTGCAGTGTAATAAACACACTCTGTGTCTACAGGCCTGGTTTCTCCATCCCCTGCCTCACTTCCTGCCTCTGAGGGCAGGGGAAGCTTTTCCTCTCTTCTTCCAGGAGCGCCTCAGCCCCTTCCCA